ATTTTTTATCGGAATTGTTCCGATCGTTTCCACGATGTTCATCAATAAGTAGGAAGTGTTCGTGGGGTGCTCACTTTCAATAATTTTATCTGCAAGGTTTTTAATAGTTCAACATAAAAAAAAATGAATTGCCTTGTTTGCAACGAAAGAGTTGGGCGCGACAATCCCAATAAAATTGATTGTTTCGATTGCAAACACTTTTTTCATTGCAATTGTGTGAATTTAAAATCTGCCGATATTGAATTCTTCAAAACAACAAATAATAAATACCGGTGTGACAAATGTAATATAATGCGAAGAAAGTCGTTTCAACAAGCAACAACAATGCCTACACAAATAGCAGAGAGCCAACATCAGCAAATGCCGGCTGCTGTGGGACAGCAAGAAAGCGCTAGCAGTGGAAGGCAACGCAAAGCAGTGGGTGAAGAGGAACAAGTGCAGAAAACAACAAGTGCAAATGCAAACAATACAAGTGACAACAAAGTAACTCTTCAACTCTTATACAAAGAGATAATTAGCTTGAAGCAAATAAATACTGACTTTCTCGCAGCGATACAACAACTAAAGGAAGAAAACAATGAACTAAAAATTAAGGTTACGAAGTTAGAAAATAAGTTGAATTGGAACGAACAAAAAACATTAGAAAATACAATTGAAATAGTGTGAGTGCCGATAACAAATGAAGAGAATGCGAAAGAATGTGTCAAAAAATTTTTCAGTGATGCATTAAATGTGGTGGTTTCCGATAATGAAATTGAGGAATTGAAGATTAAACGTATAAACGTAAGGGGAAGTAATTTTAAGCAAAATATCTGGGTAAAATTCAAGTTGAACGAAAGTAAGAAGAAAATTATGGCTGCTAAGAGAACTGCCAAGAAGAAACTAAATACCTCAGTTTTTTCCGGCACGAGCACAAATAGTAAAAATATTTTTATTAATAATTGCTTTACCAGTTATAACCGCGCATTGTTTTTAGAAGCTACAAAAGTTAAAAAGCAAAAAAATTTTAAGTATCTGTGGCTCAGTAACTCAAGGTTACTTATGAAAAAATCGGAACATGATAGAGCTGCTGTCATAAAAACGTTTGAAGACCTAGCAGACTTTTCTGTTTAGTGCTTTTGGATTCTTTTTTGTTTTCATAAATGAATACTAGAACGTTTTTTATAGACAACAGCTCTAACATAAATATCAACATAAATGTCATAGAAGATTTAAACTTTTTAACAGTAGGAAGAAATACTTTAACCGTTGTTCATCAAAATGTGAGAAGCCTACGACAGAATTTTAATTCATTATGTTTGAACCTGGAAGCCTTTGCTCATCCTCCAGATATTGTGTTTGTAACGGAAATATGGATCTATTCTTATGAAGTTAATGATTACCATATTCCCGGTTACAATTTCTTCGCGAATACTAATGATTCATACTCGGCTGGTGGTGTCGGAGTTTGCGTACGCAATATATATGAGTACGATGTTACACGTTTTTGCCTAGCAAGTGCGGATATTTTAAAACTTAATTTGAATACTAAAAAGGAACTAATTAGTTTTGTATGTGTTTATAGGCTTCACTCAAAATCGTTACAGGTATTTCAAGAAGAATTTTCTTCTGTTTTAGATAGGGAAACCACAGCGAATCTAGTCACATTAGGAGATTTCAATATTGATTTATTAAGCGCTAACGCTACAGTAGATAACTATCTTGAACTGTTGGCAAGTCATGGCTTGACATCTTTTATTAAAAGTATTACCCGGCCAGTTTCTGGAACAAATATAGACCATATTTATGGACGCTTCGATAGTAGTACACTTAGCCCATCTGCGGGTTTGAACTTTGATCTTGGAATTTCTGACCATTGTATGATTGGACTGAAAATTAGTTGTTTAAATAATGTTCGCAATTTCAATAATAACAGTCCACCAGTCATACAGAAAATAAATTTTATCGCTCTTTATAATTCACTTCGTTTAGAAAAATGGGAAAGTGTTTATGCTGAAAAGGACGTGAGTAAAGCCTACAATTTATTTTTGTCTACGCTTCAAGCACACATAACAGAATCTAGCTTTGTTACTTTTCCCAAAAACTCGAAAACTATTCTCAAGCCCTGGGTCAATTGTGATCTACTTAAGAAAATTAAACTTAAAAATAAATTACGCGTGAAATGTCGCAAGCACCCAACAAACACTCGCCTACGGAAGCGTGTGAAACTCCTCACATACAATATTAATAAAGAATGTCGTTTCAGGCATGATCATTTTTATAAGAATAGATTTTTAGCTGCGAAGGGTGACGTGAAGAAAGAAGGGAATGTGGTCAACGACATTCTAAATCGTAATAAGAAAGCCGAAACTAATCCGTTTGTTTTAGATATCGACGGCGAACTTGCTTCTCACCCTTTAGACGTTGCCAATCATCTCAATGATTTTTTCGTTACAATTGGAAAAGAGTCCGCTCCAAAGAATAATAATATGCGCTGTACTTGCAACAACCACTTAATTTACTCTGTAAATACTTCTCCCGGCTGTAGTTTCTTCTTTGAACCAATTTCTGGGTCAGAGATTTTAAGTTTAATAAATTCTTTAAAAAATTCTGATTCTTCTGGAAATGATGGTATCTACGGTTTGACTTTAAAGAACATTGCTTTATATGTTTGATATTTTATTCAATTTTAGTATAGTCACAGGAGTGTTTCCAGCCGATTTAAAATGTGCTATTGTCATACCACTACATAAGAAAGGGAATAAGAAAGATAAAAATAACTACAGACCTATTTCTCTCTTGCCATCAATCTCTAAGGTTTTTGAGAAGACTGTTAAATGCAGAGTCTTGCAATATTTGGATAAAATAAAGTTTTTCAGTCCATTGCGATATGGATTCTGGTCAGGAGTATCTACTGAAGATGCTCTTCTTAACTTTTGCTCGTTTATTAACCGACTTCCAAAAAAGGAAGAGCTTATCAGTTCGTCGGAATATTTTTTTTTTTTTTTTTTTTTTTATGTATGTTACCGCATAACTTTGGACCACGTCAACCGATTTCGATAATTCTTTTTGCATCGGAAAGGTAGTGTATCAGAGGTGGTCCCATACTAATCTGGTTAAGATCCGATCAGCGGATCATGAGATATATATATATATATTTTTTTTTTTATATGAGAGTTGAAGTCGGTTTTTTTTCTTTTTAAATTACTAGTTTATAAAGCAATGGATGAAAAAGGGACTTGTGCTAGTCTTTTTGTTGATATAACAAAAGCTTTTGACATGGTCGACCATAATATTCTTTTATGTAAATTGCACTCAGCAGGTTTCCGTGGAAAAGTTCTAGATTGGTTTGAGTCATATCTAAATTTAAGAAGTCAAAAGGTGAAAGTAAACAATAATCAAAGCGCACCTAGACAAATTGATTTGGGAGTCCCGCAGGGGTCAGTCCTTGGACCAATTTTATTTCTGATTTATATTAACTCGCTTTTTTCAATGCCTTTTGTAGGAAAAGTCACAGCATTTGCAGATGACTTGGCAATCGCTTATAGATCAAACAATGCTTTCAATCTTTTTGTGGACATAAATCACGATGTGAGCCTCCTAAGAGAATGGTTTGCTTCTCATAAACTTATTGTAAGCAATAAAACTAAACTAATGTATTTTAGTCTTAGTGGCAAGGAAGTAACTAGTGGTGATATTATTTTCACTCTGCAAGCTGCTTGCGACATAAACTATGTACTAATACTTGTATTGAAAACGTGACGCAACATGTTTCAACGTCGAAGTTGTTTATAATTTTAGATATCTGGGTGTTATAGTCGATCACAACCTAAGCTGGTCTTCGCATATCTCTGCAAGCAGTGTGCTAAAAATGATGTACTATGGACTAATACAGTCTAAACTTCAATATGGCATAAGTAGCTGGGTCAGTGCATATTCTAGTAGAATTCAACCACTCTTAGCTTTGCAGAAGTGTCTTATACGTAGGATTTGTAATGCTAGCCGTTTAACGCACTCGATGAATCTCTTTAGGAGACTAAATATTCTCCCTGTAAGACACTTGTACTACTTTAAAGTTTTAAATTTTTTTTTTATGAGAAGTGGTTACTTACGAAGTCCTATATACACTTCACTCATATTAAGAAGCAATTCTAATACAAACGTCACTGTTCCTGCCTCACGCACAACTCTGTATCGAAACTTCTATACCATAGTATCGTGTATGATTTTCAATAAACTTCCCGATGATATACAAACAATTCGTAGAATAAGCGTTTTTCTGAAGCAGGTGAAATTATGGTTTCTTGGTAAAGCCATGACGATATTCAAGTTCTGTTACGGCCTATCACATAATAGGCTTCCGACTTAATAACATAATAACATTGCAACATATTTTCTTACTACTTTTTATTTTGATTTAACAAGTTCACTTGTAAGTTGCTTGCTATGTAATGAACCGATGTACTTTATTTCTATTAATTTTTAAAAAAACTTTTATATTAATAATTTATTTATCATCAATGTTAAACCATTATAACTCCGGTAAATGATATTCTTTTTGCGCCCCACATTTCCACATTTCTACATCTCTATACTTCGATTGTAATTATAACAGTAAATGGTGTTATCACTGTTCTCATTTTGAACACTCAACGCCATTAGTTATTATCTTATTGTATCTATTTTACTGTATGTTCACTAATATACAAACTAATGTTAATTTCTTTAAATTTCATAAGATAATAATGAATAAAAATGAATGAATGAATGAATGAAGCCAGTGGAATAGAAAATGATCAAAACGAAAAAGAAAAATATAACTGTTAACGGTCAAAGGAACAATTTTATAGTCAGCGAACAGCAAAGAATTTAAGTAGAGAAAATAAAAGTAGTAATTACTACAATTAAAATTATTAAAATGCGGCTCTTGAGGTCTTAAAATGATTAGTTTTTTTGTGAAAATTGTTTATTTATAACTACAACTCTGGTTTTTATTAAATATACTTCTTTTTATTAAAATATCATATAATATTATTAGCAATTTCGTCTCTAATTCTTTGTGCTTCACTTTGCAAGTTAATGCCTGTTAGTACAGATCTATCTACTTCACTATCTACTTCGCTGGCGTTTTCTTCAGGTTCATCATAGTCATATTCAAGATTATAGTGGCGACAAATATTATGCAAGGCAACACATACATTAATTATTTTCACAACCTTTTGTGGTTTGTACTGCAAGGTTCTTAATAAACAACGAAAACGAGTTTTAAGAACCCCAATTGTTCGTTCAACTATATTATGTGCCGAAGAATGTGTTTTGTTAAACGCGTGTTGTATAGACCGTGGTTCTGGTTTTCTATATGGTGTTAATAGAAAAGGTTCCAGAGCATACCCGGCATCGCCCAATAGCCACGAATTGTGATCACCATCTCGATACTTCGTCATGACTAACTGTCTTGCATTGCTCATGCTCCATATAAATGAGTCATGGGTAGAACCGGGATGACAAGCATCAATAGCTCTAATAACCATATTATGATCGCAAATCTGAAATAAATAAGAAACAAATTTGACGAAAACTTTTTTCCATATAAAATCCAGTAATTGTGGCAAATAACAACCATTGCATTAATGCTAAAATTTCCTTTTCGGTTAAAAAAAGCAGACCCGTCTTGTGGTTGCAATAGCTTGATGTGCGTGCCGTCAATACATCCAATCACACCCGGAATACCAAATTGTTCGTAGAAAGAACTTTTGTCGGCTCCTATCTCTTACAAAGGCATGAACAATTTTATCCACTTTGAGCAAAGTCTCCGCTCCATGAGCGTAATTATTTCTGAAATTATCTTGGAGACAGTGCTCCTTCCCAAAGCGAGGCTTCGACGAGGAATCGCAGCGTTTCTGCCAATTTCAACACTGCGGGAATGGAGCTTTGTACAAGTTTTTCAAAATCATGAGGAACGCTTGTTTATGTATTCTATAGAGTGCAATAAAGCTGTAAAATATAAATTAATAGTTTTAAATGGCGTTAGTATAGTATAGTTTTTATACTACTAACGCTGAGTACGGTAATTCCATGGGATTGCTGTGATCGCGCAAAATTTTTCGCTTCACTTTTTCAGATGTTTGCTGCTCATTATTCAAGTAAACCACCAATAAAATAATTGAACTCATGTTTATTTTCTCGGTTTTATTTATCCAAATGAAATTGACACACATCAAAACAAAGTTGACAGATTGGAGGTTTGTTCCTTTTTTTACACAATCGGATTCGCTATTAACTTCGAAACAAAAGTTCCGATCGGATTGTGGAACACCATTTCAATTCCGAGTCGGATTTAATTCCGATTACGATGCGATTCCGACTCGGATTGCAGAACAGGGCTGAATATATTTGTAAAAAAATAATAAAAAATGTTAACTTGAAAAACACTGCGATTGTTTAAATAAAAAGATCAACATCTCAACTTGTTTGAGTCACCATACTATATATGTACATCAAAATATAAGTTGGTGAAATTGTTTGAAATTGGTTTCGTTTTATTTCCATAGGGGGTAGGTTCAGAAGGCGCAGCAGTTGAGCGCAACCGTAGCTAAAAAATCAGTGGTCGTAATGTGTCTTCTCAACGGCTTGATAAATTAGATGTCAAATTCCAAACACACAACCTGTTGTCTCAAATGATCAGAAAAATACTACGATCATCTAATACGCAACTGTTCAGTTGATCAGAAGTACAAAACAACGCGTTTAGAATGTGCCAATGCAACAGTTACTGAGCTGTTGCGCCTTCTGAATGTGCCCAGTGTAGCAAAACCGATGTGTGCGATGCATCGACAAATATCGATGCAAGTTTTGATGTATCGAGGCGAGGAAAAACATCGATGAATTTTTGCACATTGTCACAGTTCAATTGTCATTATCGTGTCATCAACTGTTGTTATAGGTATGCACAGTCAATAATGACAAGCGAAAATCTCGTTTTATTTGCCAATTTCGGCGAAATTTTCTCTATAGTGAAGCAGCTGTTCTTTGGTTACATTTTAATTGTTCTTTTTGACCGCCACTGCAACAGACGGGATTTCTTTTCAATTAAATACAACGCAGCAATGGATTACGAAACGCCACAAAAGTGAGTAACTTTATAATAGGAAAATTGATTTAATTTTATTATGAATTCGTGTATTAACATGAGTGGAAAAAATTAACGCAACACACAAGAGCAGCTGCAGTTTTGTAAAGACCACCCGAACTGCAAACGTGAAAAACTCTCAGAAGTATTTTCTCTGTATAACAGTAATAACCGCGAACATAATAATTATTGGGAAAATTTTAGTAGACGGACGGCAATTCTAGAAAAAGGGGGGCTGAGGGGGGTAGAATAGGACCGCCTGATTTCAAAAAGGCCCCTTTTTTTCTAGCAACCCTATAGTTCTTATATAATTTATTGTTAAAGTTTTCATATAAACGATGAATAAGATAGCAAAATAACATAAAACTTGGTGCTGCCAGACTGAAATTTTGAATAGTAAAAGCGGATTTTTAATTCGGAATTTTCACTTAGTAGAATTCTCCTTTCTGTGTTGCCGAAAAGGGGAAAAAGAGATTATAACCCTCACTACGTAGAATTCTCCTTTCTGTGTTGCCAAAGAAGAGGGGCTGAACACCTTTTGCAGAGAACACCTTTCTGCGTAGGCGGCCTTCGGCCGCACTTAGGGATTATAACCCTCACTACGTAGAATTCTCCTTTCTGTGTTGCCAAAGAAGAGGGGCTGAACACCTTTTGCAGAGAACACCTTTCTGCATAGGCGGCCTTCGGCCGCTCTTAGGGATTAAAACCCTCACTACGTAGAATTCTCCTTTCTGTGTTGCCGAAAAAAAGGGGCGGAACACCTTTTTCAGAGAACACCTTTCTGCGTAGGCGGCCTGTGGCCGCACTTAGGCATTATAACCTAACTACGTAGAATTCTTTCTATTGTATTGTTTTGTACGGTATGGCAACACATCTTATTTGTCAGTTTGCAAACATGTGTTATGTGTTATGAATTTATATATATGAAAGTATGTGACAACTGCCCACTTTGATAAGGAAATCAACTGGAACGCCTTAAGAAATTTTAACAACAAATAACTTATAAACAATTATATTGTTTATATTTTTTAGTTACACATGTCTTAGAGGATAGCTCGCTTATACCAAGTCCCCACCAAAAAGTTAACCATCTCAAATCGAACTTAACCACATCGCTAACTATTGCTGTCCACACTGCGGTTTGAGGTTTATAAAACAGTACAAATGTAGACAACAGTGTTCGGAGCTCAAAAACCTTATTCAGGACTAAATCGCTGCAAAAGTCGGGGCAAAACAAATTTTCCGTATTCGAATGAATTTTTTATTTTCGTTTCTGACATTAATTGTTTGACTTAAATATTTTCTATTCATGCAAAAATAAGAACGCGAGGCAATGTAAGGATAATATGTTACATATTTAGGTAATTTTTAGGATTTTCTATAAAGTAGAACATTTCTAACACTTTATTTTTTAAAGAGCAGTAGGATCTAAACCTTTTCTACTTTATATAAATTTCATTCTACATATCGTCGATGTTTGTGCAAAACTGCCCATCGCCCAATTGCAAAACCGCCTATCTTACGGCACTCAAATTTTACAGGAGAGCGAAAAAACGGTATATTCTTTGAGGGCATTGCAATGATAGGCGGTATTCTCTGTAGCTATGATTTTACAAATCTGTTGTTTTAATAACGATTTAACGATTTTTATGCATTAATATCGATGCTTGGAGTTCAGGGTTACCAAATCTCATTTTGCCACAACGGCGATTTAGGCGGTTTTGCAACCGGTCGATAGGCGGTTTTGCAAAAACATCGACGTTATATTTTTTAACAACTTAAGTAAAGTTCTGCAATTTCTACAGCCATACATCAAAAAATAACGAGGTTACTTTATTGACGCATTGGTATGAAAGAATTACTTTTTAACAGTAAGATTTGGCTAACTTTCAATTTTTTTACTGAAACCGGTGGTGAACACTCAAAAAACGGCCCTAAGAGGGGCATAAAATGAATGCAAAAAATGGAATAGATTTGAAGTCAAGCGGAGTAGATTTCAAATTTTTTCAAAAATCGGGTAAATCTGATCTGATCTTAGTGAAGTCCAAACACTAGTAGGGAACAAATTTTTTACATTTTAACGCTAATGACCCACAGATGGCGGGAAAACACAGGGTTGTATCAGACTTTCGACGTGGTTTCGAGTTGGTTAGCTTTTAACCATCTCAGTGAAATGGTTAAGTGTTGTCATTTTTATATGGCGAAACTATGCTAAATCAAGTGGGTTATCGGGATAACCAACTCAACAGCCATAACTACGTGGTTAGCTCTAGTGGGGACATGGTATTAACATCCTGACCAAGTTTCAATTGTTAATTCCACCTAGTTTTCTTAAAACACAAGCTGCGGCTGACTACTAAAGCCCACCCCGTGACAACGCTGAAACATTTGTCAATATTTTCAATTTTATTAGTTTTGCAGAAAGAAGTTGCAAAATTTTCCTAAATGAAAACTGTGAAACCATTTTATTTGCCTAAATAAGTGCGTTAAAAA